TTCTTTCCAGTAAACATTGTCGTAAACTGACTAAAACACAGTGACTGTCCATGCGAAGTGTAATTCACTGCAGGTGAAAATGAAAATAGTCTTACCAGAATATCTACCTGTGAGTCTGTCACCGGGGATATAGATGTGATGTGAGGTAGGAACTAACCATGGGGGCTTATATAGGACTGAGTAGACATTTGAGACATCGTATGACGCGGATAATGTAGCATTTCCTTATTCCTTATTGTTACTTACCATTCCCCTTGTTGTAACCTTCAGCCAATGAGCAGCGTTAGCTGGTTGGTCATGACTTACGGGAACACTCAGACATCCATCACATCATGTACTCACATGTCACTTTGATGTGATGCGTACAACAAAATCATCATTTTATTGCAACTTATATGGTTTCTATTTGGCAGTTGAATGTTGTTGTGATATATATTATCCTGAATACAAAAGGCACTTTGGGTAGATTGTCTGTCAACAGATGCATGTAGTATATTTGCCAATGGCCATTGTATAATAAATAGAGAATCTCACCCGAGTGTCTTTTGATATCAAATGTACCACCGCGATTTGATAAAGTTACAAATATCCGAGGCTTGCCGAGGATATATTTACTTTTATCAACGAGTGTTGATATAATTGATATCAGAAGACACGAGGGTGAGATTCTATTTATCATCCAAAATCACTCTTCATTAGTTTTCAATTAAACATGTACATCTCTGAACACGGTACTGCCGTTAGACTTGCAGTGCAGCGATGTCATAGCATTGTGACGTCATCAAGTTCATGACGTCATAGCATTGTCAGGGCATTGTACACAATCTACTGTCAACACGATATCTCCTAGGAGATATCATATGATCTCACACAAGCAATATCTCCTGTGGAACACAGTTTTGGATAATATACAATCATCATGCCAGAACAGTCGTGATAAACTAGTGAGTGTCATGTCATTGTGACATCAAGAACAGCATTATTTTGTTTATAGAAGGCTTAATAACTGAGGCTCCTGCCACAACAGAGTCCATTGATTCATTGTCCTTCAGCGTATTTCAAGAATGAGCATGCTGGATTGTAATTCTAAAGTTCATCAATGACATCAAACCTACTGATTTTAAGAAATCACTGTCAACTAACTTTCACAAAAACAAGACCTATAGTTACTACTTCTTCTTTCTTCTTGTTCCACTACCTCTACTACAACTACTACTACTACTACTACTACTACTACTATTGCTACTACTACCTCTACTACAACTACTTCTATAACGACTCAAACTGCTGCTGCTCTCACAAACTGAAAAGTCATCCTCCTGTGTTAACACGAAAATTTATATTCCACTGTGACAGGTTCACACAAAGGTTTCCTATAAAATGTCATCATAAATGTCAAATCACTTGTCACCCTTGAGACAAATATAACGAGACTGACTATGTTTTATTCTACAATTGCGACGTCATTGTGAAATATTACATCATGTCTTTGTTCATGCTTGTATTTGGCTTAGCTGGTTTGGAAAACAAAAATATTGCCCTACTATTCTCCAGAAATTTAACATGTTAATAACAGTATTAACCACTAGAATAGAAAATGGCCCAGTCCAGCCACGTTGGGACATGAAATGAAAAAGAAAATATTATGTTTTTCTTGTACATTTCCAAATGAATAATGTTATGTCAAATCAGTGGCATAAAAATTGTTAATTGTATATTCGCATATCACTGGACATTGGTTACTATAACAACGTAATTCAAACCCGAGGGTAATTAAATACATCATACACATGCAAAGCAAGTACAGGTTGAGGTCCGGTCTATCTATAATTTATTGTAAACACTTTTACTGTATTTCCTTGTTTTCGTTGAAACTCAGTAAAGGTTATTACCATTTCCAGAATAATCATTTAATATTTAAATAATTAATTGTTTCTAATATTTTCGTATTTAATGTAATCAGTGGTGGGGAAGTTACTATAATTTGATTGTTTGGAATAAAGTGAATCTTCTAGAACAGTTTAGACGAATAAAGCATGATGTTTATTTATGATATGAGATGTTGTAAGAAAGTATTAGGCAATTTAAGTGCATAAGCGCATATCTCTCATCTCATATCACCACCTGCGCTTCATTGTTTTTGTTGAGAAAACGGTCTTACCGTTATAAATATAAAAAATAATATGTTGTTGCGAATGTTTTCGTATTCAGTGTGTGGACGTAACTATATTTTAATTCTTATGGAGTGCCTTTTTGGAATCATGTATTATTTAGAATCTTCTAGAACACTTTTACAAAAATCAAGCGTGATATGAAATTTCTAGAAGGTATATTCAATGTAAGCAAGCAAGCGCATATCTCATTAATGTCATAGCACATAAAGACCAGCGCTTCTGAAAAGGCAATATTCCTACCCTTGATATTGACCCAAGGCTTATTGTGGAAGCTTGACCACTGTTGCTGGTACGTGAATATCATTATCATCGAGGTAATTGCTATTACCACTAGTCTATTGTATTTTATACTGCAACTATAATTGAGGTGAGGTGAGGTGAGGTGAAATTGGGTTTTACGTCGTGCTTGAGAATATTTCGCTCATATGACGACGTGCATGCGTGTGTAGGTGTATGTGCGGCTGCTTGTACTAGCCCAGACTGAAGCTGGTTTTATTGTGCTAACCCACTGAGATACAATGCCGCAGTGAATGTAACGATACCATTGTTGGTAGTATAACATGTATTTGTTGTTTGTTTTTTTACGCTGGATAAACTTGCGTAAAGATGTTTAGCCATGGTTTAAGGTATTGCTTCAATGCGGTGATCACTATTTTAGGTTACCCCAGAGTTTAGGTAATTTCACCTCCAAATATGTTACATCAATATTCAAGCTAAATAAAAACTGGACACTTGTTAGATTGAATCTCGCAATGTAAATACTGCATAATCATACAAAATAGATGTCTTGTGTATCATGCTGTTATCATCCAGGTGACAATAGAAAGGATGAACAGTGGATTGCTGCATCATTTTATTAAAACACACGTATGACGTTCCATGACCCCCACCGCTTATAGAAATGCTGAAGAAGTCAATGACGAGTCAATGACCCCCCAACTGCGGCCATGACGGCAACACAACGTCATCTAATGGAAAGGAGAACGAGTTTGATCACTCGAACCAGAAGTCGTCGCCATTGGTGCTTATCCAAATTCTTCGAAGGCCTGGGTCGATTCATTGTCTTACTAGCTCATCCCAAATGTATTCGATCAGTTTCCAGTCTACGGAACAGGAAAGCCAATCCATGGCATCAACACCGGCGTTACGTAAAAGCATCAGACCTGCATTATAGGGCTTATCTTTATCATGTTGACATGTCAGTTGAAGACAATGTAGCTGCGTGGATGATAGAAGGACTAGGGTCATAATGTGGTTGTAATAAGAACCCATTCGATTGAGATCGACCGGTGGTAACAAATGCTTCCCAATCCATTACACTGCCCGTCCAAATCGGTAAATCTCACGAGGACAACAATCAGTGGCGTTCCCCGCCCGTGCGCCACACACGTACCATTGTCATTGGCATAGCGCAATGTAAAGCGCAACTCGTCACTAAGGTCATTCCTGTTCCTCTGCCTCTGGTTGAATCTGGTATGTTTGCGGACCCATCGTAAACGTTGAGAACGATATATAATTGCGTCAGGGTGCGGTGCGCAGTCAACCCATGACCAAATATCCTCACAGCGGTTGCCAAGACCATGTTCAAACGGCTCATCTGACACTGTCGTGTATATGGCACAAGACAAAAACTATTAAGAATCACATCACATTGTTTTCCAATCAAATGATAAATGTTCGGATACGTGGGTGTGGTTTCTGTAATGAAAAAAATAACTGAAATCTGCCGACTACCGAATGGGTTGACTCCACGGCATCAAGTGATGGATTTTTTCCAACTTAGACAATGGTTGATACACATCATCAGACTTCCATTTTTGTGGAAGCCGATAGGTAGGTAGGCGGTTGACTTTGTGTGCTGGCTATTAGGTGCCTTACTCTGAGGTCCTGTGAAGGTCCGGGTTAGAATTCATCTTCAGTAACCCATGCGTGTCGTAAGAGGCGATTAACGGGATCGGGTGGTCAGGCTCGCTGACTTGGTTGACACAAGTCATCAGTGCCCAATTGCGCAGATTGATGCTCATGCTGTTGGTCACTGGATTGTCTGGTCCAGACTCGATTATTTACAGACCGCCGCCATATATAGCTGGAATATTGCTGAAAGCGGCGTAACTCTAAACTCAATCACTTACTCACTTACTCTGAGAGTGTGGGTTCAAATGGTTAGATGGGACTCAACCCAATTAAAGTACTTGAATCTGTACTTTACTGAGAATTGTCATCACAGATATAACATGTGCTATGTTTGACCACGTTCAAAATGGCATTGTGCACAGCATAGCTTTCGGCCGTGGAAGCCCTAACAAATTACACTTGTCAGAGGGGTACACAAAGTCCGTGGCCTAGACTGCCAGTTATCAGAGCTCCATTTTTTGTGAAAGTCGCGATGACTGAGTCGGTTAGATCGCTGACTTTGTGTGCTGGCGAAGGTCGTGGGTTCGAATCCCGGATGGGGCTCAACTCAAGAAAGTACTAGAATTTGTACTTTACTAAGAAAGTGTAATCCCAAATATAACATATGTTACATTTGACCAGTTTATAACTGGCATTGTGTAATCTTAGCTTTCGGACGTGGGAGCCGTACCAATTAACATTCAAATCCCGGATGGAACTTAACCCCCAAAGTACTAGAAACTGTACTTTACTGAGAAAGTGTAATACCAAATTAAATCCCTTGTATGGTATACAACCATACAACCATACACATCACTAGGGCTTTTTGTAACTCAGCACATCGTACCTGTCATGAACTGGTAATCTGTGGTTGACAATACATTGTGAAAGATGTTATTGTAAGCTCTCAACCAAAAACAACATAGCGAGATATATATTGTAATGTAAAGTTTGTTTATTTGAAAGACTTATACATTGCAGATCATGTAGTGAGGATTTCAAGTCTGGAGGTCATCCAACCAGTAGTGCCGGCCATCTCTTCATCCCTGCAAATAAAGAACACAAGGTCTCATAGCAGTCTGTTTAATAAGAAATGAAAATAAGAATAGTCCTATAATGCCAAGTACTCATGGATGCTGATGTGAACTCGTGTCTAATCCTCTGTCCACAATCGGGGTACAAGGACGCCCCCCCTCCCCCCCCTCTTCGGGATGCAACTTCAAAGAGGTGGTGCGTTGGTGTGGCATCTCGCAAAGAGACTCCTTCGCAAATATTTGACGTGATTGTCCACCATCGTATGAAATATTACTGTCACTAGTCAGTTTGTCCAATAATCCATTGTAGTTTTTGCTGCTGTTGCTGTTGTTGATATTTTGCTGTACCTTAAATCACCCTTCGTTGATTTTTATATGCTATA